ATATATATATATGTCTGTGTGTGTGCCTGTGTGTTTGTATGTAAATATGTGTGCATAACTGTGCACATATGTATGTATATATATATATCTCAAGAGAGAGAGAGAGAGAGAGAGAGAGAGAGAGAGGGGGAGAGAGAGAGAGAGAGCGATAAATATTCGACATGTATGAATGTGGATGTGTTACATGTACCTACGTATTATATATATATATGTATATATATATATACATACACATGTGTGTGTTTATGTATATAGAGATAGTCAAATTATGCCATTATATATATACACACATACATATATACCACAGAGAGAGAGAGGGAGACAAAACAAAACACGCACAAACACCTTCTTATGCACAAGGTTTCTGTTTTCACATCCAAGCAAGCAAAAGTCGAGCACATAAACAATGTTTGCTCGCTATCGCCGGTGCTGAGGAAGGTGCATCCAGCTCTTTGATCTCGTCCAGGAAATTGGCGAAGTCGTCCTGTTTATTTGCTGGTGGCTTCGAGATCCCACCTCCTCGTGCACCGACCATAGCCTATCAGTCTAAGATTTCAGCAGCATCCGACATAGCCCTGGCAGCCGGCCTACACGCGTGGTCTGCATCGAATGCTGCATCAACTTGCTCAAGCAATCGAAGCTCATGCCATTTCTCATGCTTTGAAAGCCACGCTTGGTTCCGCTCCCGTCAACCGACAAGCCCTGCGCAGGACATCATAAGCCCTAAACCCTAAACCCCTAAACCCCTAAACCCTAAACCCCTAAACCCTAACCCCTAAACATGCTAAAAATCGGCCTCCGGTGCCAGTACTGCAGGTGTCTCCGCCTCGGGGTTTAGGGTTTAGGCGTTTAGGGCTTTTTTCCCACCCGCTTCGCTGACTAGGTCGCACTGCAGGGAAAACCCCAAGACGACGATGACTGTAAGAGCAAAAGGGCGGCGAGTCCCAGGCAACTGAACTCATACTAGGGCAGACCGCAGAGGGGTTTAGGGCTTTAGGGCTTAGGGTTTAAAGGTTTAGGGTTTACGGCTTTAGGCTGTAGGGGTTTAGGCCCAGCTGACACTTCGAACAACCTACCTGCACGGCTGCTGTCCCCATAAGAATGGTCTCCCAAACATATTTTGCAAGCACATGTGTAGCCAACTGGGCTTTTCGGTCAGCAGCTGGCGCTTTGTAGTGGAAGATGTGATGGGTACTTTGTTTCATCGTTACTGCCGCCACCATTCAGAAAACACATTCGCGGGTCCACTATGTTGCCGCAGTCTAAAACAGACTGATGCTTGTTCAAAGATGAATCGACCCATGGCTGGCAAAACCACAATTCCAGAGCAAATCCGGTGATCGCGTACAGGTGATCCCCAATCCTCGCAATTCGAACTCCCGCGCAGAAGGAAAATCTGAAGTCTCAAGCCAACAATGCTGAAACCCCTGGAACCATAATCCAAAAAGCTTCGAAACTCCCCTCAGATTCCTTGCCCTTAAGACCCCAGGCCCCGCACTGCTGGCTTGGTCGCTTCCGTGGCCTTGGTGGCCTTGAGATCCTCAAACAAAGCTCCCGCGAGAGCACAGCCGACTGGTGCCGGGGGGGTGTCAAACGATCTTTGGAAGGGACTGTACGCTTGGAGGGGGCGCCAGGGCGAGTCATTAATTTGGTCCTGCAGCTCTTCCCCCTCCCTGTCGGCTGGGTATATAAGGCTCCAACAACAACCTGAAACCCACAGGCACCCGCCCGTATCCTCCACCCGAAGCATTTCCCAATCGGTGTCCTGGAAAAGTTCCGTTTCGCTTCCGTCCTCCGAACCTGGCATGCAATCATCTGCACAAGACTCCGCGACTCATATGGGGTCACCAAGACTAGGACAAATAGACAAATCAAGAAAGGCATGTATGTATGTATGTATGTAGGTATGTAGGTATGTAGGTATGTAGGTATGTGTGTATGTATGTAGGTATGTGTGTATATATATAT